TCTGCCGCGCTCGCCCCGCGACGGCGGGCCGCCGATAGTGGTACGCTGTCCGAACGCACCGCCACCACGGGAATCGCGGGATGCCCGACGAAACCGCTCTGGGACTCGATGTCGTCATGCTGTCGCGGATTCAGTTCGCGCTGACGATCATGTTCCACTACTTGTTCCCGCCCCTCACGATCGGGCTGGGCGTGGTGCTGGTCTATCTCGAAGGCCGCTACCTGTGGACCAAAGAGATCATCTACGAGCAGGCCGCCCGGTTCTGGACGCGGCTGTTCGGGCTCAACTTCGCGCTGGGCGTCGTGACGGGCGTCGTCATGGAGTTCCAGTTCGGCACCAACTGGGCCGCGTACTCACGGTTCGTCGGCGACGTGTTCGGTTCGGCCCTCGCGGCGGAAGGCATCTTCGCGTTCTTCCTCGAGTCGGGGTTCCTTTCGCTGCTGCTGTTCGGCTGGGACCGCGTCGGGCCGAAGACGCACTTCTTCGCCACAGTGATGGTCGCGCTGGGCGGCATCTTCTCGAGCGTGTGGATCGTCATCGCCAACAGCTGGCAACAGACTCCAACGGGCCATGTGCTGCGCGAGCACGTCGTCGGCGAGCGCACCGCGCTGCGGGCCGAGATCATCGATTTCTGGGCGATGGTCTTTAATCCTTCGACCATCCATCGCCTGACGCACGTCTGGCTCGGCTCGTTCGTGCTCGGGGCGTGCTTCGTGATGAGCATCTCGGCGTGGTATCTGCTCAAGGGCAGGCACGTCGATTTCGCGCGGCGGTCGTTCATCGGCGCGCTGATGCTGGCGACCGTGTCGTCGCTAGCCCAAGCCGTGTCAGGGCATTTTAATGCGGAGATGGTCGCTCATCATCAGCCCGCCAAGCTTGCGGCGATGGAAGGCCTCTACGAGACGAAAGCCGGAGCGCCGTTGTATCTCTTCGGCTGGCCCAACTCCGAGCAGCGCCGCGTCGATTGGGGCGTGGCGATCCCTTCGGGGCTAAGCCTCTTGATCCACCAAGACCCGTCGGCTGAGGTGCCGGGGCTCGACCAACTCGGCCCTGTCTACGGCGAGCCGCCCGTCTGGATCACGTTCCAGGCCTATCACCTGATGGTGGCGATCGGCATGACGATGATCGGCGCCACGCTCGTCGCTTGGTGGTTTTACCGCCGCGGCACGCTGTTCGAGCAGCGCTGGCTCCTCTGGTTCTTCGTCGCGTCGGTCGTGCTGGCGATGGTCGCCAATGAAGCGGGCTGGGTCGCCGCCGAGACGGGCCGCCAGCCTTGGATCGTTTACCCAACAATCGTCGATGGCGTCGCCACCGGCGGCCTCCGCACGGCGGACGGCGTCAGCGAGTCGGTCCACGCCGACCAGGTCCTCGGCTCGATCATCTTCTTTGGCGTCATCTACGCCACGCTCGGCGTCCTCTGGCTGGTGCTGCTCAACGGCAAGATCCAACATGGGCCGGAGCTTGATGAGGGCGACGACGGCGAAACGGTATCGGAACGGCGGCACGACATCGGCATGGCGGATGCTTAAGGTGAATGACGAAGCACGAAGCACGAATGACGAACCTGCCGGTGGCGGATAATTCCTCCGACAGGTTCGTCATTCGTGCTTCGTCATTCGTCATTTGCAAAATCCACTTCCAACTTCCCACTTCGCCCCATGGACTACCCCACTCTCTGGTTCGTCCTCCTCGGCGTGTTGCTCACCGGGTACGCGGTGCTGGATGGGTTCGACCTGGGCGTCGCGCTGTGGCATCCGTTTGCGAAGGACGATGGCGAGCGGCGGCTATTGGTGAACTCGATCGGCCCGTTGTGGGACGGCAACGGTGTGTGGCTCGTGACGTTCGGCGGGGCGTTGTTTGCGGCGTTTCCTGAGGCGTACGCCACGGCGTTCTCGGGGTTCTATCTGGCTTTCATGGCGGCGCTGGGCGGGCTGATCTTCCGGGCCGTGTCGATTGAGTTTCGGGGCAAGGTCGATCGCGCGTGGTGGCGGGTGCTGTGGGACACGGTCTTCTTCACGGCGAGCTTCGTCGCAACTGTCGTCTACGGCGCCGCGGTCGGCGCGGCGATGGCGGGCGTGCCGCTCGATGACCGTGGCATCATGGCGAGCTCGACCCTCGAGCAAATCGGCCTCTTCTCACTGCTCACCGCTGCGCTGACGCTCTCCGCCTTCGCGCTGCACGGCGCGCTGTTCCTGGGCCTTAAGACCACCGGCGACTTGCAGCGTCGCACACGCATTTGGGCGTGGGGCGCCTACTTCGCGTACGTTGTGCTGTTCCTGATTACAACGGGCGTCGCCGTCGCTACCATCGACCGGGCCACCAAAAATTTTGACGTCCACCCTTGGGGACTGATCATCGTGGTGCTCAACTTCCTGGCGGTCGCCAACGTCTCGCGCTGCCTCTACAAGGGGTACGGCGGGCAGGCGTTCATCTCGTCGGGCTGTTCGATCGCGGCGCTGGTGTTCCTGTTCGGCTTCGCCCTCTTCCCCGACCTCGTGGCGTCTTCGACCGACCCCGCCAACAGCCTGACGATCTACAACTCGGCGTCGTCCACAGCGACGCTCAAGCTGATGGCCCTCTTCGCCCTGATCGGCATGCCCTTCGTGCTGGCGTACACGTCGGTCGTCTACTGGACCTTCCGAGGCAAAGTCCGCATCGACAAACACAGCTACTGATCCATGTGTCGCGCAGAGACGCGGAGACGCAGAGACACATTCTTAAGACTCACGCAAAGGCGCTAAGACGCAAAGAAGGAAAGCAATAAAGCCTTTGCGGCTTTGCGTGAGCCATCCCGCTCAGCACTCTTTCTCTGCGTCTCCGCGTCTCTGCGCGAGACCTAAGCAACTTGCTTGTAGCGTGACGGTAAGAGGGCAAGGGCCATTACCAGCAGTTGGCTTGTGGCGAAGAAGAGGAGCATGCTGGCCGTGTTGCTTTCGGAGGCGCCGTAGGCGTGGAGGCCGACGCCTAGTTCGTTGACGCCGAACCAGCTCCAGGTGGTGACGATGTTGCCGCCGACGGCGAGCGTGGCGAAGCCCACCGGGCCGATCATCTTGCCCCAGCGGGCGTGCAGCACCAGGGCGTTCCAGAGCACGATGATCAGGGCGCCGTTCTCCTTCGGGTCCCAGCCCCAGAAGCGGCCCCACGAGTCGTCCGCCCACAAGCCGCCGAGCACGGTGCCGACGAAGCTAAAGAGCAGCGCGAAGCAGAGCGTGCCGTAAGCCATGCGGATGAGTTGGTCGCCAACTTGCTTGGTGAGCAGACTCTTTGCGCCCACCAGCCGGGGCGCGCCCATCGCGATCAGGTAACCGGCGCCGAGGAAGCCAGCGAGGTACGTCGTCGAGTAACCGAGCGTCACGCAAACGACGTGCGTCGCGAGCCAGAACTGCGTGTCGAGCACCGCGCGGAGGACGGTGTAGGTGTCGCCGTCGAGCGACAGGTAGTGGGCGACCACCAGCGTTGCGAAGCCCAGCAGGCTCGCCACGGCGCTGCCGATGCCGATCTTGTAGATCGCTTCGTACGCCACGCCGAACAGCACCGCGCCCCAGCCGATGAACACCGCCGACGAATAGAGGTTCGTCACCGGCGGCCGGCCCGAAATGTAGATACGGCCCACCAAGGCGAACGTGTGCACGAGCAGCGTCACAACGATTACCGCGAGCGCCGCACGCCCCAGCGCCTTGGTCACGGTCCCCTGCCCCAGCCACGACAACGCTGTCAGCACGAACGCCACGAGGTACATCGCCGCGCAGTAATAGAACGGGCTAAAGTGGCTGAAGAAGTGCTCGAACCGCACTGCGGCGGCGTCGAGCCTTTCGGACGAGGCGAGTTTCGCCAACACCTCGGGCGAGGATTCGAGCGAACGCTCGTACTTCTCGATCGCCGCTTCGATGTCGGTGAGGCTATCGCCGAACTCCTTGGGCATGCCGCGGTTATACGCCGTGAGGGCGTCGCTCCAAGCGGCGCCG